TTTTCTCTCTTTCTAATTCTAAATCTTTTACTCCTTTACTAGGTCGCCTAGTCATTTGGCTAGATAAGAATGAAAATTAGGAATAAAAAAAGATTGGAAAAAAGACATCAATTAGGATAAAAATTAAAATTAGGAGACCAAAAAATTGATTAAAAAAAATTAATTAGGGTTTAGCTTCTTTTCTTTTCTCCTAAGGTTATATTTTTTGGGCAGGATATGATAACTTTTTCATATTACTTTTTTATACAATTTCAACATGTTATTAAATAAATTGATGCAATTAATATCATGAGTCTTAAATAAATAAAAAAATTAATTATTTAAATGATATGTAAAGTTGAGTAAACAATTTTTTTTTCATTACCTCCAATATTTAGAAGTCACATTAAATGTCAATTAATTTGAAATGAACCCCATAAAAAATAAGCTTTCTTAATGCTTTTTTCTTCATTTACATAAGTTGAATTCGAAATCTTACTTAAAAAAAATCTAGTTTCTTTTACTTGAACCAAGAAGTTGTTAGTTTTATGGAGATATGATATTCTCATAAAAATAATTATATTTAGGATAATTTATTTTATTCTAATTCTTAGTAGTCATTGTTACTTATCTTATTGAGTATTAATTTATCTTTTAGCAAGAAAAATAATATTCCTTTCTTATGGAGAATTTACCTCTTTTCCTTTAGTAAAGAAAAATAATATTCCTTTCTTATAGAGTATTTACCTCTTTTACTATAGCAAAGAAAAAAAATAATTCCTTTCTTATGAAGTATTTACCATTTTTCCTTTAGCAAAGAAAAACAATATTCGTGGATAGGAGTGGTCACCTGTAGGGTAGGGTTTTCGGTAAATCTTATATATTGATGATGATTTTTACTACTTTTTTACCATTACCATACTAAAAAATTGGTAAGTTTTTGGAAATAAAATCCTTTGCCATTACCATACCAATTCCTGCCAAATTCATTTGATTACAATTATTTTTTGATTTTTGATTTTTTGCATTTACAAAATTGTGGCAGCCATGGTAATGGACCCTTCCTATCATTATTGTATCAAGATAGAATGGTAATTACAATTTATCTATAAGGTTTTTAGAAATTTTTTTTTTTTATATTGTTGACTTATCATATGGTAAAATAATGTTGTTATTATGATATGACAGTATTCACTTTCGTTTAAGTTAAAGTAATATGTATTAAAAAAATATATTCAACCATACATCCATTCATAAATTATTGGGAAAGAGGTTAGAACTTGTAAGTTATAAGCAGATAGATATTAAAAACCATGTAGAAATTTGGAAGGAAAAACTCTCCATAAATCCTCTAATAAATTAGGAGATAGGTTAGACATCCTTCTGTAATCTTAACTGAAGCTAAGAAGTTGATATGCACAGATCTGGATGTGATGGATGTCTCAGTCATGTTCTGCTAATAGAGTTTTGTCATCTTTGAGATTTGTTTAGTCGTGTTAGACTGGTAGTGGAACTGATGACCTGGTTTTGTGCTACTAATTTTTTAAGGTTAAAAGACCAATTTGGTCCTTAACTTCAAAAAGTGCCAAATTGCCCCTAACCTTTAATTTTCAATTCCAAAAAAGTCTTTCAATTAACAAAAATGATATATATAATGTTATTTTGTCATAAAACCAATTTTTTAAATACTAATAACGTATAAAATCAAATAATTATATTTTATTATCATAATATATTTTTATTTACATATTAAATTGATATATACTAAAAGTTAAAAGGTCAAATTAGTATTTGTAATTAAAGTTTAAGAATTAAATTGGTACTAATCTTTAAATCTTAAGGACTAAGTATTATTTTTAAAATTTAAGGATTATTTTGGTATAAAAATTAAAGTTTGAAGACAATTTTAATATTTTTTTCAGTCTAGGAAAAATTTTAATTCAAAATTGAAAGTTGAGGGATCAAATTGATAGTTTAACCCTTTTTTATTATGTTTAATTATGATACAGAAAAAATTTTCTGTAGTAGTTTTTCGACTTATTTTTTGTGTTGCAGAAGCAGAAGGTAGAAATTGGTAGGATCTAAAAGATTACAAACATAAATGCAGGAAAAACTAGCATAAGAAATTTCCTGAAATACTCTCTATTCAAAAACCAAAAAGATACAATAAAATAATTTTTTTAAAAAAAATTGGAGAAGAATAAAATTTGTCATTCAGTTACCATATAGTTCACTATCATCGTTCTTTTTTCTTTTCCCTGATTCTATTAGCTGTTTAAAATACGAAAAAAAAAAATTATCAGCTTTGAAAATCGCAGCTGCTGAATTGGTGCTGCTTTCTCTTTCAGGTGGTGCTGCTTTCATGCGGTTAAAATGATTCCATATAAAGCTCAGTTGAGTAGTAGACAATCCTCAGAATAGAGTTTAACATTCACCTAAAGCAGCGGAGGAGAATACAGGTCATGGGTCACCAGCTGTTAAGGAATTCCCTTCACAGGACTTGAAGCTCTAATTTGCGTTTGCTCTGAAGGAATGGGCTTTGGAGGTGCACTTTTCAAGATGTTTTTCGCATACAAGGAACCAAAAACGATAACCTAGTAAACACATCAGAAGTTATGTTGTTGTATAACTGCAGAAATAGACTAAAATTCAGAATATTCTATGAGGTCGAGACCCTGAGGCTTACCGCTCCAATCCACTGTTCCCAACTTAGGGGATGTGAGAACCACATGCACGACAGCATGATGCTCGCCAGCTTAGACATTCAAAGAGTCCAAGGAATCACAAATAATCAGAAAAGCAGGCTTTTCATGTATAGATAATAGATCCATGTTAATAATTTCAACTTTACCTGTCTGGTGGTCATTATGGCAGCAAAAGTAAGAGCACCAAATGTACGAATTGTGTAAGAAATAAAGAATTGACTAGCTGTTGCTACCTGTAACAAATAAAGCCTTACAAATTCAACACTGTCCAGTATGCCTATTGCATTAAGTCAGTGATGAAGAAACAGGGTCTAAATGTAACTAAACAGAAAGAAAAATGGAAAAAAGAGCACAAGAAACTTATAACAGAAGCAAAGATTACTTACAGTTGAAAGCAATACAATATCGAGAAAACAATCATTATGGCGATAAGCAAATTCTATAGCTGGAAGTAAATGTCCCTGTAATATCAGGCCTAATCCAAATGGAAAGAAAAATTAACTGCTTAGTAATATTCAACAAAAATATCTAATCTGAAGGAAACAAAGGATAAACATGGAAAAAGAAGCAGTATTTATAAACACATACAGCCCATCATGTTTCAGATTCATATAGGTCTTGGTAGGAAATTAAAAACTCAATAATAGTGTCTATATAAAATGACAAACTTAGCTGAGTAGACAATTCATAACTAGATAAATCAAAGACAGGTTTTCCACAAGATTTGAAGACAATCATTCCATCAAGAAAATAAATAAATAAAAAAGTAGAATTGAATACTATGAAATTTGATCTCCAATTGCATTGGATCTGAGAGAGAGAATCCAGCTTATTGCCTTCCTTCTCAGACATTTGGCAATACAAAACAGGTCGTTTGAAGTTACAAGCAACATGGAAAAGGAATGTTACCTGTCAAGCTGAGAAAGCAAGAACATAGTGTCGTGTAGAATATTTGATTGTGTATTTCCATATCATAGCCTTTAAATAATTTATCTTGGAATGTGCTTGTAAAGCCATCGAACCTGTTAAAATTGAAATGAGAAGCTACATAAGGAAACAAGATAACATTTTTTCCTCTCTACATTTAGAATAGTATAATATTGCATGCCTTTATAAAGAGAAATAACAGAATTATAGTTATGAAAAACCTAAGTTTTAGCATGCTCCTCAGATTGTCAGTGGCCAATTGAGAAAAGGGTCAATAGTACTAGTAAAATTGACAACCCAAAATAGAATTCTTAAGTTCCAAATCATTACCCAAGATAACCAATCATCAGAGAGACCCCCCAAACAGTGTTTTCTCTTCCACTGCTGTAAGGACTAATGTCAGTTCCCTCCTACAATGAAATATAAACAAAATGCATTTCAATTACTTAATTCAAGCACAAACCTCCTAAGACTCCTATAGAATAAGAGTACCAAGGTGCAATCAAGGACACC